GAGCCCGTGATTGACGAAGGCAGTGCTCTGGTCTTAAAGGTGTAGCGCGGGACGGGTTGTACAGTACTCGCCGTTTGAAATCGAAAATTCACGCGAATAACGCGAATCCTCGTTAATTTCGTGAATTCGTTATAACTCGGTTCAAAATTGAGCTTTCGAGAATCCGAAAATATCTTTGAATTCAGCTCGTCGGACACTATAAGAATTTGCTTTGATACTTTGGAAAAGCTCCATATAGGATTGCGCCATGCACTCGATTTTCATCTCAAAAAGTAGTTGCTCGCATGTGATGTGTATATAATCCCGCTTATGCGGGCTGACCGCTACACACAGAGAAGGGCCTCAAAACTTACCCCAGAATGCGCCACTACATTGTGAGATTAGATGAATGTTATTTTCCGAATTCTTAGATCTTCATTTCGTTTTTAAGCGCTTACTGGCTTTACGTGTTCCCTCTGCTCTCAATATCCCATCCTCTGTATATCAAGTGGAATCTTTGAACAGTTCTCAGCAGGCATAGTGGGCCTATTATGTGACATTTTCCATTTTCAGAGGAGATGTTTTGCAGAAAGCTGTGAAGATAGCGAACAATTTCCTTCACTGTCGTAGACTACGGTCACTTGTCTGTAGGAATTATGTGGAAAACTCGGTCGCAAGTGAGCGTTCCTTCCGTGGTGTGGCCCCAAACATGCCTCCTCGTCATGCCCTTGTGGAAAGTTCAGATTTTTTGCATTTCCAGATGAACTCGCAGACCTGAAATGTGCCCCGTTAGCTTCCCCGTGAAAAATGCTATCGAATGATATGCATTACTTCCCCCAGTTGAAACTTTGGTTTTTCACCGTTTTCAGCCTTCCCCTATTGCCGGATTGGGCCCCCACGATTACTGCCCCAAAATCTCAAAGTTTCATTTTTCGTCGAAACTTTGTCTATTGGGGTAATTCGATGCCCTGATTACGAATATGACATTCATTTTTGATGCTGGTGTCATTTGGCGCCATTTGGCGCCGTTTGGCGCCAATTTGGCGCCACGGCTGTTTTCACCAAATCTGCTGAAACTTCGTCATTTGGGGTTATTTGGGGTCCTGATTACGAAAACGACACCCGTTTTTGGCGCCACGGCTGTTTCCACCAAATCCGCTGAAAACGTGTGTATAGGGGTTATTTGGGGTCCTGATCACGAATATAACATCCAGTCTTGACGCCGGCGCCATGTGGTGTCACAAACAACACTTCACAGTCAGAGCGTACTCTTAGGCACCTTTCTCAGAGCGCCGACTGTCAGACCGTGGAAAAGGTCATCGAATCGGAGACTTTCCCACGACAGGAAGGAGCCAGACCGTGGGAAAGGTCGTCGAATCAGACTTTCCCACGACAGGAAGGAGCCAGAAGCATGTTTCACGTTTTCGACAACGGAGAATAACGATGGCTCTTGCTACTCTTTAGCGACACAATCGTCAATGAGAGCTACTGGGCTTAGCCTTGAAGGACGTGTACGAGATGCTCAAGTTGAAGTGCGACGAGCTGAATTCAAAGATATCTTTGAATTCTCGAAAGCTCAATTTTGAACCGAGTTATAACGAATTCACGAAATTAACGAGGATTCGCGTTATTCGCGTGAATTTTCGATTTCAAACGGCGAGTACTGTACTTTACATTACACGGGAAGTACCCGAGAATAAATTTCTATCCAAGTACAATTAAGTGCATCAGTTTTATTGTCTCTTTATACAGGTGCATCTTGCACTGGATGCGATGGCTTCAAACCCGTATCGATCGAAGTGGTACACCTCGTATCCATCGAGACCAAACGCACGATGGCTTCCTGGAACGAAATCGATTTCTTGACCTTCTGTTTCTTTTCATCTGTCCATGACAAAGTCATGGCAAATTTCATTATATTTTCTTCGCTCATTACATGACAACCAGAAACCCAGACCATTTTAGGTGGTTATCTGTGGAAAAATGTATGGCACAATTAACCCTTTACTGCCCCACACTTCCGAAACTGATGGTGAGCTGGATTTTTATCGAAATTTTCCCATGACTGTGCATTTGGCTAGAAACTTGCCCCCAGGGGTAATTCGACCCGTAGAACACGAATATCACATTCGTTTGACGCGAAAACGCTTGGCGCCCGCGCCACAAGTGCCGGCGCCAAATGGCGCCAGAGAACACCACCAAACTCGCTGAAAAGTTGTCATCAGGGGTAGCTTTGACCCGCAGAACATGACATCACATTAATTCTTGCGACCCAACCTGTAACCTGCGCTACAGGCGCCGGCGCAAAACTGATGTGGCAGCGCCGCGCCTGTGGCGCGGGCGCCAAGCGTTTTCGCGCTAAACCGATGTGATATTCGTGTTCTACGGGTCGAATACCCCTAGGGACAACTTTCTAGCCAAATCCTTAGTCATGGAAAAATTTCGATTGAAAATCCGGCTCCATTTTTGAGGAGTATGGCAGTAAAGGGTAAACAATGCCAAAAGCTATGTAACAAATGAACTTGAAAATTTACGTGCCATAAGTGTAAGCATTGAAGGAATCCTTCCACGGAAAAAGCTCCGCCCTCATTACCACAGAAAACGATACCTTAAAGGAATCTTCCACGGAAAGAGTGATCATTTTGTCTTGTGTGTAGGATTAGTATTATCGAAACTAACGCTTATGTTCCGTTCTTTTTGCTATGCTCATGAGGCTAGGGGCCTAAGGGGTATCGTTTTTCTGTGGTAATGGAGGCGGAGCTTTTTCCGCGGAAGATTCCTTTAAGTGTTCCCAATAAAGAGATTAAATGGGCAGAACCAGAACATGTATGGTGACACTAACCTGTCTGATTTTTTAGATCCCATAGTTCTAGCAAACAACCAGAACGCACAATTGCCGCCACAGGAAAGTCTCAAGGATAAATCCGTCCCCTCTGGACCTGCTGGCAGTTGGGCTCCACTCCTACACCCACCTCTATGCACTTTTTTCCCGGTCTCCAGGACTTCTTGGAGCTGAGTTACAAAGTTTTGGGCAAACTCCGCCCCATTTGATGCACACCCCTCCCACCAATAGCAGTTAACTCCATTCCGTTGACAAACGCAATCAACATCTTTCCCGGTCTCTGAGGACTTCTTGGAACCGACTTATGAATTATCGTCAGCAAACTTCGCCCACTTTGTTCGTGCCCCGCCCCCGACGACAGTTGACCTCAACTCCTCCACCCACCTCTATTCACCTTTTCCGGCTACCTACAACTTCTCCGACCCGAATCATGAGG